CAATAAGGACAATTTGTGTTACAATAAATCATAGATACTTTATCCAGAGAGCTTATTTATCTCTTTTTCTACTTACTGGTCCTGTTTAGAAAATAAAATTAATGCCAATCTGGCTGCACTAATGTTTCTGGTTTTGTTTTAGCAGGACCAAGTAAAATTTAGTACAAAACTTTTTTTTTTGCAAATACAAATGAAAACGTATGTATCATATTAGTTTTAACAATAGTGTTTTTTGTAAACCAATTGTATAGCAATTAATTTTAAATGTAATCAGTTAATTTAGTTTAATCCCATGCAAAATTGCTGATTAGCCAAAAAAGAGCCTATAGATACAGTTTTTAATGCTTTGGTGTCTAAAGTTTGTGTGTGCTGGTTTATATCTACACCTAAAACTTTTCCCACAAAACTGATACATTTATTATTCCAGGGTCCAATTGCCTCTGGATATAAAAACTCCACATTGTGACAGACAAGTCTGAACCAGTGGGTATCACAGCAGGACAGATTGAAGTGAACTAGTGCTTGGTACCAGCTGTGGACCTCCAAGAGTGATGTGACAACATTTTAATAGTGCCCTTTCTTAACTCATTAAACATGGATTTAAACAAAATATTGCCTCTACAGTCTTACCTCAAGTATTCTGTAATATTAAGGTTATAACTAATGCGCTGATCCTGTCCCTCCTCCACTTCTTATTGGATTAAACAGGAACTCCGATTACATTAATGCTGTTTTCCTGGCTCTGCTTATTCCTTCATCTTCTTTTTAAGAGACAGAAGGCTGAGCTGTAGGAGGCAGAGATGAAAAAATGCAGAGATTCCCACTGCCAGTGACCAGGATGGACAGGCGTATGAGCAGTTCACATAGTGGTAAGAGGTTGAGATGGTTTGGACAGAGGACATATTATATTGGACAAAGAATGTCAAAAAGCAGATGCCAGGCAAGAGCAGAGGGAGTAGACCGCAGAGAAGATTTACAGGTGTAGCAAAAGAGGACATGGAGATGGTTGGTGTAACAGTAGAAGAGGGGTGAGATGGAGGCAGATGATTCACTTTGGCTATGGGTCATTTAGTGTGAACACATTCGTGTATGTTTCTAACTGTGGGAGTAATCTGTAGTACAGTGAGCCATCAAAGCTCATTCACATGTTAACCATGTACAGATAGATGTTAACATGGTGTGTGAATGAGGTTTGATGGCTCACTGTACTACAGATAACTCCCACAGATAGAGCATCAGTTAGCCTATTTTCATGCACCTATGTGACCACTGATATGAGAATGGTAGTGCATTGTATTTTTATATGTATATTTGATGTTTATTGAAAAATAAGACGTACATTTCGCAACCACAATTCGTCACCACGTCGCCCTAAACAGCCCAAGCTTCCTCAACCTCAAACTTGTGGTTAGTGTGGGAAAGGCTGGAGGTAAGGCATGGGAACTAACCACTCTTTCACTGTGTGGACCAACTCAGTCCTAAAAAAACACACGATAAAACACACAAACTGTAGAATTTTTTTTTATTTTTTTATTTTTTGGAAAATGATCCCCAAAACAAAACAAAGCAAACATTTGATTTTAAGGATGATTTGATGGGCCTTAATTGGTTTCCATTCAATTAGCAGACAGTTGGGGTCGCCAGGACTCCGAGGTCCGTGAGAGCGGAAAAGTTCAACATTTTACAACATTACAATAAGTCAAGATACAATATGTACAAACTAAACAACAGGTTGTTTTGTTTATACACACAATGCAAAATAAACAAACGGACTTATTTATTTTACCTTAACTGTCTTTCCTTTCTGATAAATCTCTTCATGACACACCTCCTATCTGCTCTCTCCGTTTCTCTACGTCTCTCTCTCTTTCTCTCCTCACCCACTTTTCACTCAGACAGCCAAGATGGCGGCAGCCTCATCCATTCAGCCGCTGACCGTTCACTCTTCTCTAGCCCGAGAAAGCGCACTTTCCCCGGAGATGGACAGTCCTGAGAGCCGGCAGCAGGAGGAAGAAGAGGAAGCGACGGTGGCGGCAGCTCAGCCCTCCGAGTCGCTAGTTAGTCTCCGGGAGCTGCCGGACCTGGAACCGGAGGAGATCGCGAGGAGGCTGGCCAAAACTCGGCAGGAGCTGAGCAACAGGAGGAAAATACTCATCAAGAACCTGCCGCCTGATACAAGCACCCAGGTACGAGTTTGTTTTCACAACAACAAAAAAGAGGAAAAACAAATAAAGTTAGAGTTTTGTAGTTTTTTCCGAATTATTTTCATTTGCGGCGTTCTTCAGGTTGTTTGTTTTAAAACATCAAACAGGTGTCACTTATCAAGTTAAGTTACTTAAATGATTTTATTTTTTTACTTGACACTGGAAATGTTTGCAGACTTGTTAACTAAGTTTTTATTTACAAAAGACCTAAACGTAATTCTTACTAAAAAGAATATATAAATTAAAAACAAAAATATAAACTAACAAGTCAAAAAGCTTTTGCCCAAAACTAAAGAGAAAATGTTGTGCTTTAGCAAATACTCACAAGTGACAATACCTTCACGAAGTACAAACCATAGACTGATCATTCCTGTTTTTATGTGTGGATCTGGGATCATCCAGAACCATCCGGAGAGCTTTCCTGAGGGCTGTTCTAGAGGTTTAAATACTGATAGAAATCAGAAGACACCAACCCTTGTAAAGCCTAAAAACAAGCAACAAAACTGGTAATAATCGTGTGCCTTTTTTGGAGGAAATTCTTAGTAAAAGATAATTCCATGTTTTCAGAACCCTATGTCAAAAATTAACTTCTTACAATAATGTGAAACATTTGTTTTCTTCTTGCTATTGCAACAGAACTGATACTCTCTATGAACAATTAAATACAGATAAGTTAAATTCCCCCACTATTGCAAAATGAAATAAAATATCCCAACCCTCTGCAATCTGTGGCTGTGTGGTAGGCACTCAGTGGATGAGTGGATCAGTGTAGAGATATACATCATCATCTCTGTCTTTCTTTCTTCCTCTTCTGCACATATAGAGAAATTTAGATTTACTACAAACACATGAGTTTGTTTAAATAGACACTGCACCTTTGGTTTCAACACATGATTTGAAAAATGTTGCACTGATGCAGCTGTGTTTACCATGCACTTGTCCATATCGTATGATCTTGTAGTCACAGTTCATAAATATTCCTAATATTTTTGATATTTGCACCTAGCCAACTGGTCAACGTTGGTCCCACTCAGTAAACTTGGGCGCCACTAGAGGGCGACTTTGTTGGTTGAAAGAAAAACCAGTTTAAATAAATACTAAATGACAATAAGGACAATTTGTGTTACAATAAATCATGGATACTTTATCCAGAGAGCTTATTTATCTCTTTTTCTACTTACTGGTCCTGTTTAGAAAATAAAATCAATGCCAATCTGGCTGCACTAATGTTTCTGGTTTTGTTTTAGCAGGGCCAAGTAAAATTTAGTACAAAACTTTTTTTTATAAAATTTAGTAAAATTTAGTACAAAACTTTTTTTTTTTTGCAAATACAAATGAAAACGTATGTATCATATTAGTTTTAACAATAGTGTTTTTTGTAAACCAATTGTATAGCAATTAATTTTAAATGTAATCAGTTAATTTAGTTTAATCCCATGCAAAATTGCTGATTAGCCAAAAAAGAGCCTATAGATACAGTTTTTAATGCTTTGGTGTCTAAAGTTTGTGTGTGCTGGTTTATATCTACACCTAAAACTTTTCCCACAAAACTGATACATTTATTATTCCAGGGTCCAATTGCCTCTGGATATAAAAACTCCACATTGTGACAGACAAGTCTGAACCAGTGGGTATCACAGCAGGACAGATTGAAGTGAACTAGTGCTTGGTACCAGCTGTGGACCTCCAAGAGTGATGTGACAACATTTTAATAGTGCCCTTTCTTAACTCATTAAACATGGATTTAAACAAAATATTGCCTCTACAGTCTTACCTCAAGTATTCTGTAATATTAAGGTTATAACTAATGCGCTGATCCTGTCCCTCCTCCACTTCTTATTGGATTAAACAGGAACTCCGATTACATTAATGCTGTTTTCCTGGCTCTGCTTATTCCTTCATCTTCTTTTTAAGAGACAGAAGGCTGAGCTGTAGGAGGCAGAGATGAAAAAATGCAGAGATTCCCACTGCCAGTGACCAGGATGGACAGGCGTATGAGCAGTTCACATAGTGGTAAGAGGTTGAGATGGTTTGGACAGAGGACATATTATATTGGACAAAGAATGTCAAAAAGCAGATGCCAGGCAAGAGCAGAGGGAGTAGACCGCAGAGAAGATTTACAGGTGTAGCAAAAGAGGACATGGAGATGGTTGGTGTAACAGTAGAAGAGGGGTGAGATGGAGGCAGATGATTCACTTTGGCTATGGGTCATTTAGTGTGAACACATTCGTGTATGTTTCTAACTGTGGGAGTAATCTGTAGTACAGTGAGCCATCAAAGCTCATTCACATGTTAACCATGTACAGATAGATGTTAACATGGTGTGTGAATGAGGTTTGATGGCTCACTGTACTACAGATAACTCCCACAGATAGAGCATCAGTTAGCCTATTTTCATGCACCTATGTGACCACTGATATGAGAATGGTAGTGCATTGTATTTTTATATGTATATTTGATGTTTATTGAAAAATAAGACGTACATTTCGCAACCACAATTCGTCACCACGTCGCCCTAAACAGCCCAAGCTTCCTCAACCTCAAACTTGTGGTTAGTGTGGTGAAGGCTTGAGGTAAGGCATGGGAACTAACCACTCTTTCACTGTGTGGACCAACTCAGTCCTAAAAAAACACACGATAAAACACACAAACTGTAGAATTTTTTTTTATTTTTTTATTTTTTGGAAAAACACACAAACTGTAGATTTTTTTTTTATTTTTTTATTTTTTGGAAAATGATCCCCAAAACAAAACAAAGCAAACATTTGATTTTAAGGATGATTTGAAGGGTCTTAATTGGTTTCCATTCAATTAGCAGACAGTTGGGGTCGCCAGGACTCCGAGGTCCGTGAGAGCGGAAAAGTTCAATATTTTACAACATTACAATAGGTCAATATACAATATGTCCAAACTAAACAACAGGTTGTTTTGTTTATACACACAATGCAAAATAAACAAACGGACTTATTTACTTTACCTTAACTGTCTTTCCTTTCTGATAAATCTCTTCATGACACACCTCCTATCTGCTCTCTCCGTTTCTCTACGTCTCTCTCTCTTTCTCTCCTCACCCACTTTTCACTCAGACAGCCAAGATGGCGGCAGCCTCATCCATTCAGCCGCTGACCGTTCACTCTTCTCTAGCCCGAGAAAGCGCACTTTCCCCGGAGATGGACAGTCCTGAGAGCCGGCAGCAGGAGGAAGAAGAGGAAGCGACGGTGGCGGCAGCTCAGCCCTCCGAGTCGCTAGTTAGTCTCCGGGAGCTGCCGGACCTGGAACCGGAGGAGATCGCGAGGAGGCTGGCCAAAACTCGGCAGGAGCTGAGCAACAGGAGGAAAATACTCATCAAGAACCTGCCGCCTGATACAAGCACCCAGGTACGAGTTTGTTTTCACAACAACAAAAAAGAGGAAAAACAAATAAAGTTAGAGTTTTGTAGTTTTTTCCGAATTATTTTCATTTGCGGCGTTCTTCAGGTTGTTTGTTTTAAAACATCAAACAGGTGTCACTTATCAAGTTAAGTTACTTAAATGATTTTATTTTTTTACTTGACACTGGAAATGTTTGCAGACTTGTTAACTAAGTTTTTATTCGCAAAAGACCTAAACGTAATTCTTACTAAAAAGAATATATAAATTAAAAACAAAAATATAAACTAACAAGTCAAAAAGCTTTTGCCCAAAACTAAAGAGAAAATGTTGTGCTTTAGCAAATACTCACAAGTGACAATACCTTCACGAAGTACAAACCATAGACTGATCATTCCTGTTTTTATGTGTGGATCTGGGATCATCCAGAACCATCCGGAGAGCTTTCCTGAGGGCTGTTCTAGAGGTTTAAATATTGATAGAAATCAGAAGACACCAACCCTTGTAAAGCCTAAAAACAAGCAACAAAACTGGTAATAATCGTGTGCCTTTTTTGGAGGAAATTCTTAGTAAAAGATAATTCCATGTTTTCAGAACCCTATGTCAAAAATTAACTTCTTACAATAATGTGAAACATTTGTTTTCTTCTTGCTATTGCAACAGAACTGATACTCTCTATGAACAATTAAATACAGATAAGTTAAATTTCCCCACTATTGCAAAATGAAATAAAATATCCCAACCCTCTGCAATAGCTCCACTCCATCTTTGAGAACTACTGGTATAATAAAGTCACCAAATGTTTTAGAGAAATTACGCAAAAATGTATGTATTTCTAAAACATTTTGTGCATAATAACATAGAACATAGATAGCGTGACAGTTTGATCAAACCCGCAACATGAAATAACAATAGAACATAGATAGCGTGGAACAGTTTGATCAAACCCGCAACATGAAAATATTATTCCTCAACTTATTGATCCACAGAGCTATCATTCATCCCACATGAATTCAGCTAAAAACTTCCAAATACAAACAGCAAAAGTGAATGAATGATCATTATTTGCCAAGAATATAGGTAAAGGTTTGCCAGAATGCCAAGTAAAAGTTAGCCTAAAAAGAATGGATTTTGCTAAATAATGAAAGGTTAGCATAAATATATGAATAACAAAATGAAAAGTTAGCCAAGATTTGCTCAATTTTTTTAAAAAAATTCCTCAATCTGTGTCTTATTTACAATGTGTTTAAGCAGTTGCTGTAAGTGAAGTTTGTTTTCTTTGAAGACATCAGAATTTGTGAGATTTCATGACACTAACTGAGATTGCTTCCCTGGAGGCGGAGGCAGATCAGTCAGTTCTTCTTTCTGTGTTTGTTGTACGTGCACGCTAAATTCCACCGCATGTTTCTTGTCAAAGAATACAGAGCTGCTTCACTGTTTATAAATTCATGACCTTTTTCATTTCCCTGGTGTCAGTGTACAAGTCTTCATGAGGCAGCGTTTCAAAGGCGCTGATGCTGTTTTTCTTCAGTTGTAGCGCTCGACATTCTTAGAAAGAGACACACTGCCAACGAAGAAGCAGCAGCAATCTGTCAACTCTCCTTGTGTTTAGTTTATATGTATTAGACGAGGGAGGAGGACAAGGAGAAGAGTGAGCGAGGGTGAGATTAAGTGGAAACAGAGGGGAGAGAGGGGAAAGTCACTCGGATTAGGTGAAGGAACACAGGGAATTTCTCTGTATTTTAAACATATTTATGTTTCGGATTGAGCGTGATCCCAAGCAGATCAACACGAAGCCTGCGCCGCTCAATATGCCTCATTAATCTATCTGTCCATTTAAAGGTGAAGTGCTGTATTTACAGTATGGGCTGTTGATTTGATGTTGTGGATTGGACTAAAATAATCAGAATATAGATTTGGAACATCCCCACAGACCGTAGAGCTGCAAACAGAGGTTAACAGTTACCACTTGAAACCACACAGTAGTGTTGAATAATTATTTATGGTAACGTCTTGAAAGCAGGACTGAAATGGCTAATAGATGCAATCTAATGATTGCAGAGTTCCATGTTCGAAAGCTAGATATGTGTAAATATCTGTTGAGTGACTGTTCACTGATTAGTCATTAGATGTTGATTAAAAAAAAAGGAAAAAACATTTTTAAACATGCACAGCGGTTAGCACAGTTAGTGTGGTGGAGCTGCTGGTCAACTTTAGTACTACAATGAATATTGTGCAGTTCAGGATATGTATCGATGTGATCTTACAATTTTGCTGTGTGTTTTTGCAAGTTGAAGCCTCTGAAACTGGGCTTAAAATTACTTTTGACATTCTTGCAATACAACAGATTTGTATCAAGATGCTGAGACAGATCTGTGGATATTCAATACCATGTTTTGTAGGCCAAATGTCACATTTACCTTAATATAGGAAGTGTGCTGTTGTACTTTTCTTCTGTTTTTCTGTTTGTCGCTGTACTTTCTTAGCTGTGCAGGCACTTCCTTCATGCTCTTGGTTTTTCCTCAAACTTCCTTTGTTGGGCAGGAGACCTTTGTGCATGTGCAAGTTATTGCTTTCTATACTACCTGTGCACATCAAACACATTCTGGTACATGATTGATACAGATAAAACAATTTAAATGCACTGTATTTAACCTGTCTGATGGACTGAGAGACATCCAGTCGACTCCATCTCGCATTTCCCTGCTATTCCATTAGTGAGCGCTGTATGGTAGACGGTGTGTGCGTTTGTGTGTCTGCGTTTGGAGCCTGTGGTGCACTTTGTCAGATATATGGCTCTGCTGACAGTCCTCATCTCAGGGCGAAACAGGGGGAGGGAAGAGAGCAGTGTGAAAAGGAAAACAGGGGTTAGATTAGAGGGCAGATAACCCAAGAGTGAGAATATTATTATTTCCAGAAAAATATAATAGTTAAGGGATAAGAACAGGATGGTAATTTGATTGTTTATGATTTTTTTATATTATTATTATTTATAGCATTTTTAAAAATTATTTACATGTTTGGTTGGGTTGAGACAGAATTCCAAAGAATTTCAAATAAGCTGACAGTTTGAACAGTTTGGAGAAATTTTGGACAGATTTTGGACATAATGTTGAAGATGTAGCTGCCAGACAAGAAAAGGAAAATAAAAGCTAAAGGAGATTATTTGACATAGTGGAATCAGATGTTATAGTAGAAGATGTAAAGGATAGGGGGAGCTGGAGGCAGTTCATCCACCATGGATACCCCTGGAAGTTGCAACCAGAGGTAAATGCAAGAGTAATGTTTGATTTTGAGTAGTGCTGTTCACACTGTCATAAAAAAATCAGATATGACATATGGGCAAAATGTCAGATTTGAGATGTTTTTTCCTGCAGTGTCAATGTAGTATAAGTTGCCCATCTTACTGGTGGAATGCACTGTCTCTGTCCTTCCAGGTCCTAAACATAGACGGATGCAAATGTTCCAAATCTGAATGTGCATAATGTTCTGTGACAAGTCCTCAAACTAACAGCTGAAGTAAAAAAAAATGCATGAAAGCTGAACTAGAAAAAAGATGGCAATGGAGCTCATGAAGCTTGAGCTCTAGATGTGATTTCTCTCCAATTTCTTACACAAATTCCAAATCCAAGTGTTCTATAAAAAGTCGAGAACAAATTTTGCACAGAGGATTTTCATCCAACTGTTCAAACCCAGGCTCCATTTGGAATTTTAAAAAATAATGATGTCTCAATAAATCCAGGCACGAAGTTTTCAAGCATTTGTGTCCACGTGCATGTGCGCATTGATGAGGAGATTGTCTTCCAAGGGTTTCTGCAAAGTTTTTGAATTATTAATTTTCCTAGTAACAGAAAAAAATCTTGTGCCGGTTGAGAGTGTGTATGACCGATTGGATTTTTTTCGTATACAAGGCTGTGTTTGAGTTTGCAGATGCGTTTGCAAAAGCGGTTCGTGCCTAAGCTGCTCTCCTCCCACTCACTTTCTCTCACAGTTTACATGCTGTGATATGAGCCTGTGTCAGTAGCAGATGTTCATGAATCTCTGTCCCACCTGACAATGGGCAGCCTTCATTACCTTCATCACCTCCATCACTTACTGCCTGTTTGTACACACTTTAAATCAGCTGGCTGCTGTGTTTCCTCAAAGCTAAGCAGACATTTTTGTCAATGTCAATGCACCTATTAGCCTGTCCTCTGTAAATAGGTCACATCAACACATTAACACTGCTGTCTGTTTTGGAAGTCATTTGTTATAAATAGAGATGTCAAACAATTACTTTTTTTCAATCCAATTAATAACAGGGTAACTGTGGACAAATGGATCATAATTAATTGAGATTAATCAACATCCTTCAATATGACCTAAACTATTGGTGTTTATTGCCAAAACAGAAAGACAAATACCAGCAGGTTGACACAGATTTTTAGTTGTGACTGATGATGAAATTATTAATTTGGAAAAATATGAACAAAAAATAAACAGCAATAATCAACCTCTGCTGTCAAATAAGGAAGAAGCCTGTGCTTGTTGTTGAAGACACATGTTCATATGGCAGCATCTCACACTTCAAAGTCCTTTGATAAACTAATCAAAACTGGCAGATACTAATGATGAAACTGACCTTGTAAAGGAGATGAGGAAGGAAATGATTCCTCACTCTACCTTAAACCCTTGGATTACCTTCAAAAGATGCAAATTTGGTGGGTTTGACTTTATACTGTAAAGTCAACAACTAAATCAATCAGCTGTAGCTCTGTTTTGGCAAAAGGGTCAAATGAAAATATTGAATAAGACTTTAGAGGTCCGTTGTTCCCTATTATCAAACAAGCTTGTCACTAGAGATTCCTCTGACAGTCTTTATTTTTGTTCTGGCGAGTTGTTGATGTTTGACTTTGAGTATAAACTATGTACCTATCAATTCTCTAAATCACCAAAAGGACTTTTATTCAACCTTTAGGGAGCAATAAAAATGTCAGGATAAAGAACTGAATCCCTTTAATGATAACACATTGTCTTTTAGAAATATCTTTTCAGATCTGAAAAGCACAAGTGGGGTTTTAATTACATAAGACTTACAGTATGTAACTTAAATGTTTGTAAGACCTTTGTTAACAATGTGTAACTTTGTGATTGATAATCTTATTAATTATTTATTAGAAAGTCGTAAGCTGGTTGTAGAGTGGTGTATTTTTAGGTAGCTTGACCCCATAAGTATTTGTTTCGGTTCTTTTTTTTTTTTTTTTTTTTTTTTAGTAAAGTAAACAAATTAGAGAAGTTGTCTTCTTTGACGAACAAATAAGAAGCTATCTCAAGTTTTACTATATTATCTGCTGCTATTTAACTGCCAAATTTGAAATTGCACTTCCTGGTCTGAATGTATATATTGCCATTATCTCATGTAGCAACAGCTCAGCATGTCGGGTTTGTCTTACAGTCCAGAAGGTTCTGATTTCAGCAAATTTGGCCTTCTCTCATCCTGACCATGAGGAGCAGTGAGGGTTTTGTCAGGATGGACATACGGCAGAGAAAAGTTGCCAGTATCTTAGTAGATTACTCGATGGGGCAACCCTTTGATGAATGGAAAACTCTTAAAGTGATAATCTTTTAGGGCTAATCCTCCAGCAGTGGAGACTATGAGTAGCTTATGCCAAAATAAAAGCTGTTGATATTTGATGCTTTGCCATCATGTCCAGATGATACTTGTAATGACACATACTGAGGACGTACATTTGGCTCAGGTTTAACCTCCATTCTGAGACCAGCTGTTTCAAGACAGTGGGTTCAGAGAAGGGACGGGTGGTGCTGGGGGTGGGGGGGTGTGATGGCAAGATTGGTTCTGTCTCAGGGTGAGACACCTGCTCCCCTCAGCCTCCCGGTTCCTTCTTTGGTGAGATTAAATCAACGGACTCCTCTATTTAAGACATGTAGACCAGCAGAAAATAGGAAATGAAAGCAACAGAAATCGTATTACAGAGGCAGACAATGTTTGTGATATCTCAAGGGATAAGAAGAACTCAGGCAACCATACATACACTAATATTTTCCTATATTGTAATTATAAAGATGCTGCTTTTGGTTGCGAGATCAATGATAATATCCAGTGATGCCAGTGCCTTTTCTGTTAGGTTCAATTTCCAAAGATGCAATACTGCAGCTTTTCATGGGTTTTGTAAATAAGGTTTCAGGGAAAATGAGAAAAAGAAACTTGCTCTCTTGTGGATTCATGCTTGTCTGCCTACAGTATGTGAGTGAACGTTTTCTAAGAAGCTCCCCCTGCAGGCATTTGATGGGCCAGTGATCTGTGCTATGTATGGTTTCAGCCACCTGTGTTTCTGTTCCTCTCTCCCTGTTTGTGTGTGTGCACCGATTCTTAGATGTTTTATGTTAGAAAGAGTGAACACAAAATGTTATGCTCAATGATGCATTCAATTTATTGACACAAAATGATAAATAGCTAATAAAACAAAAACAGATCACAGCCTGACTTCTACTTCTCTGTGATAATGCTGTGTAGTTACTGTAATGCTAATCATTTCAGGGTGACTACATTGTGCTTGTTGGCAGATCTGGGCGCCATCCTGTGTTTTCTCCCTGTGTAGCATATATCAGTAAATCAGTAGGTCAAGGACACATTTACTGGCAGTAAGGAGGCCAAGCAGAGTGTTTTTGTCTTTCAGCACAGACACACACTCGGATGCAGACAAAGCATACACACTTGCACATGTGCAAACACATGATTTTACGTTGCCCGAGATGCAGACAAAGCATACACACTTGCAACCATGTGTTTGCACATGTGCAAACACATGGTTTTACGTTGCCCGTATGAGGGTCAGGGAATCAAGTTTACAGTCAACATTTTTTATCCCCGCAGGTACTTAATCTTTCAGAAAGGCTTAAAGACTGAAATTACAAACATTACATATGGTTGATGTCAATGCTAGCTAATATGGAATAAGAAAATAAAGTCCAATTACCCAATTCCAAAAAAAGATTTTGGGAATTTCTTACATGGAATAAATTAGTGTGGAATAAGAAAATATATAAGAAAAGATATTTTGGGAATTTCTTACATGGAATAAATAAATAATTCACAGATGATTCTTTCTCTCCAAAGGGACTCTTCTGTGTCTGGTCAATGTATGTATCTAATGTCTGATACATCTACAGTCCACCTGTCTTAGGTCCACTGGGTCTTGTCCATCACTCATGAACATTTCTGTCTTCAATACACATCGACTTAAGTCCACTGGGTCTTGTCCATCACTCATGAGCATTTCTGTCTTCAATACCCTGAGGTTGTTTTAAAAATGGTATAAACTTGCTGTTTTTTAAAATTAAAATAAACTATTGTTTAATGAGGAATAAAGAACACACAATGTACATATTTTCATAGATTTTAATGTTATTCTACACATTGTCCCAATTCACTGCATAGACATTTTAATGAATGCCTACCACTGCTTTTTTCAAAAGATTGACCTTTGTGATCCCTCACCAAAGATGCATTTATCAACTAAAAGGTCTAGAACAAAAAAAGAAAGAAAAAAAAAGAAAAGCAAACCACTGTTTTTCTGTTTTTATTACTCAATAGAGGATCTATGTCTGGCGTTAACAAAGCAGTAGTGAATAAAAGCTCAGTTTGTGAGGCATTAGCTGACATCATAGAGACGGACCATTCTCCTGGATCATTATAACCTTAGTGATTTGTTTCCCAAGATCATGCCTGTGTCTGTGTTCATGTACACTATTGAAAGTTAGTGCTTTTCAATAATACTAATGGAAAAGTTGAAAAGTTTAGGCTTTTCAAGGAATGCTGTTATTTAGTTTCGAGTCATGAATCTCTCCTAATTGGACAAACATGATCCAGTTTGATAAACGCTGCCTGGCTAGAAACTAGTCATGACTGATACGAGAATTTGTCCAGCGGACGTGACAGTTTTTGACTATATTGGACAAGATAATATTATGGTCTACAGAATATGATTTGCAGTCAGGTGCAAAGGAGGATAATGCTGCACAGCATACTGCATAAAGCCCCCGAGGCAGCGGTGAAGGAAGAAACTTTCTAACAACTACTGCAAATAAAATAGTAAAATAAGTTTCCATGCCTAAAATATAGAAATAATATCTATTAGTGAAACATTAAAAAAAGGTCTGCAACTATGGTGTGGAAAGTCTTATTTTTGTAACCCTGGGCCATGTGTTTGAAAGACAAATAGACTCTTCCCACAGACTGTTTCCACAGTAAACTTTGATTTTGGCAATTCCCTGTTTGGATTTAAAGTTAAAATGGTGCGAAGTTTCTGTCTGATGTGCAATCATCAACCGTAGACTGGCCATTACGTCGGGTCTCTGACGGCACTTAGCAATAATTGTTTTCTGGCAAAGTGATCCTGTACCGTCACGGAGGTTAGAGTGAGGCTCACGGCTTGTTTTTACTCTGGGGTTTTCTTTTTTCCCCTTTTTTTCTGCTCACTTTTCAGTCCTTCACCTACACTGTGTTCCTGTTCGATCTGGAGCTGTTGTGTTCTTGGACAGTTTTGACAGTGACTGAATCGTACAAGCTCCCTCATATCACAGAAGCGCATCTAAGAAAATAGAAAAAACCTCTTGATGCCGGCTCTGAACGGTTTGTGCTGTCGTTGACTTGTGTGTCTATAAAACAGTGAAATCCACGAGGCGAAGGCACTGGGGCCAACAGAGAGTTAGTGGTGAGCGGTGGAGTTCATAATGCGCTCAGACAGGGGAGGAGAAAGGAATCTCTTGCTGTGCTATTGCATCTCTACTTGTCAGAGAAGAAACAAGAAGGATTCTTCCTGACACCAGACTCCACTCCTTCTGAAAATCAGGATTTGATGTTGAATAAGACAAGCAGTTGATGTTTTTTCATGCACATTTAAATTGATTTAGGAAATTACTCCCTCTCTAAAAATCTCATATCTCATATATTCTGTTTCTTCATAGGAAGTCCATGAAATTCTGAAGGAATATGAACTGAAATACTGCTTCGTGGACCGTAACAAAGGCACAGGTAAGATTTGTGGACACAATCACTGTTTTTCAGTCTTCATTTAAAGAAACATAATTAAAAACTCACCTTAAAAATTGCCTGTCTGCAAATAAAACAATCTTTACACAATGTTTACTAATTATACAAAAATAAAAAGTATAGTGCCACTATTATTTACAGTATATATGACACAAACACTGGGTTCCCCATTGCATGTAGTGTACTATACTATATACTATAATTATAGAATTATTAATTCCAATGACTGCTTATTTAGCTTAAGTGTTAAGTCACCTCAGTAAATTGATTAAATTTGACCTCATTTTAATTTTACATATAAAATTATAAATAATTTTAATTAAAACAAGAAAGGCCAGGATGTATGCTGCACAGACCCAGAAGTCCCTGAAGGCAACTGGGTGATAATGGGCTCTATAAATAAAACTAAATGTACTGGCTTTACTCCTGAACAGACTTTTGGGTTTTCCTAATGAGCAAGTAACTTTTCTTTTAATGTGTAGAAGGCTTTTCACTTCAATTATATTATCATAATTATTACTATATTGGCATTTCCTTTAATGAAATTAACTGTTTGAAAATCAACTCAACTCATTGTTGGGCAAACAAAACTTTAGTTAGCCCATGGGATCATTTTCAAAACCATTTTTTTGCACAGTTTCAACAATTTCATCGTTTGCTTGTACCTGCACTGCGTTGCTAATCACTAATTGCTAAACATTCCACCAAACTTTCTTGAGTGCTTTTTTAACTCACCTGAGTAAATTATTATTGCCCCCTACTGGTTGACATAAATAAACATAAAGTCTGCCAGAAAATAGGTAAATAAACAAGGTGTAATTAAACATATTATTTTGTCTATAAGTTTAAAACGAATCAAAATTAACTTTTTAAAGTCACTCAATATTTTTTAGTACTATAACATTTTGTTTTTACAGTTTTGGCAGAAACCTTAGGCAGACTATGAACAACGACTAAATGATACACACACCCACGCACACTCAGAGAGCATGCCACCTGCCCCTAGAGTGTGTCGTTTTCCAGGGAAATCTCTCATAGTGCCTATATTTAGCAGGTGCAGTCGGCCAAGCACCTGAAACGTAATGCTCTTAGCATAGTAGAGTGGAGTCTGAGAAATCAAAGCACAGCCTGGACAAAAGGTTAATGCTGTTTTAGGAGCAAACGAGAGCCGGTCGCTTTACTTTTCTTTTGAACATTTCTCTTGAACATTTGGTCAAAAATGTTCTTGTTTTGTTTTATTTGCTAAACTGATATACATCAAGTTCTTATCACCATTCTCCAGGTGGTTTAAATGTTTCTTTCTTGTCTTCCCTTATATGGCGACATCACAGTCCCCTTCTGTCAAGACGTAGTAATTTAACACCTGAAGTCATTAATCATTCTAAGATTTACTACTTTTCTTGTGAAGTCGGCTCAGTTAAAAGGGTCAGACTGTTGGGCTGTTTTGTTTTGGAGCTCGGAGGAAATAGTGTTGTTTCAGTACACAAAAAATAAACATATATTCAAATGGACAAGTTTTAATTTAAACGGTTATATTCCTGTGAGTTTTTGTAGGAGCGTTGTTGGTCGTTTGTGTGTAAATGTGAGTGTGCTAGACCGTCGGCTTGAATCCACCACCCATTAGATCAGTTTTCACAGCAGCTGGACAACATCAGCCCAACTAAATGTTTACAGTGTGACTCACTGGGGCTCTCGTCTCTCCCTCTCTCTCTCTCTCTCTCTCTCTCTCTCTCTCTCTCTCTCTCTCTCTTCCACCTTTTTTGACTCTACTTTCAAAGCTTTAAAATGATTTTCTTTTGTGCTCGTGGGCCTGTTTATGTCGTCCCACAATGTGATAAAAAAATTCAGTTGGGTTTTCCTTTGACATAAGGGACAAACCTGGAAATTAAAAATCACACTTAATTTTAGACTCGCTGTTTGATTTTCAGACTGTGACTACGATTGTAGCACTGTTTTTTTTTTATTTTTATTATTGATGTAACACATGATTTGTCTACATTTAACACCTATTAACAAGTGTAAACCCGATACGTTACTTCATTATTTTGTGTTACTGTCCTGTGTTTTTGCCTCCTGGGATTCTTGACCTTTGCGAACCAAACCTTTTTATTCTACATCCTCACTCGTGTCGGGGGTTGTTAGGACTGCAGTTGTGAGTGGTTCATTAGTGTGTGCACCTTCCTTTCTGTTTAGATTTATTTTTTAATCATTTCTGACGTGAATACTTTGTTGTGTGTCTAGAATTTTTTTTTCCTAAAAATTGCATATATCCCTTTTTGCCATCCCATCGTAACAAGTAAAGTGATCTTGAATGAAGGTGATTTGATATCGGTCTCATTTCATCAGCAGGTGGCCGGACCTTAGACAAAGACAGATCAATATCAATCCATTTTATTCTTCGAACTCTCAGCAGAACCGTAATGACTTCATCTGTCTGCGAGGACGTTGTGGCCGGCGACGAGTTCCGTTTCATTTTGTTTGTAAATGTGAGAAAATCAACAAGTCATAAGTTTCAGACATATTTTCTCTTCCAGTTTGATTTGTGAAATTTGTCAACACTTTTTTAAAACGTAGAAGTTCAGAAGTCGAGACTTTCTTACGGTCCGTTTCACCTTTTCAACTCAGTCAGTCCTACATTTCATCAGGTTATATAAAAAATTACTTGGTGTTTCATGAATTGCTACCATTGTTGAATATCATCACAAATATACGTCTCTTAATGATAGTGTTATTCTTAGCCACAACTAGCTGAGCCTTATTCAAACCACAAACCTTAAAAGGCAGTTGTATAAAGATTTGTGTTCCCCAGGTCGTGCAGGTCACAGTCATTTTTCATTGTTATCTTTGAACATCAATCCAGATGTTTAAGAACCCAAACGGGTCGAGCTCTTCTGACGGGGAGGTATAGATCAGAAGTGTCATGATTTCTCCAGGGAACAGGAAACGGCTGTGCACAGAGACCGCTGTAATTGGTGTGAAACTCATATTCCTAGGGTTGGGAGTATCATCACATGCAGTATGTAGACAAAGATGACCGTGGTCCGACAGTCAGTTGGGGATTCAATCGAGTGTCTGTGTTATTTGCATGGGCAGTCACATGTGGACGTTCAATTTTCACTTTATATTGTACACTATGTACGGTGTAGGTTTTAGAAAAGTGACATGTCAGCACAAAAAAAATCATTTGACCTACAAAGAAATCCAATCCTTGTCTTGGAGGCTGTTAAATAAATAAAAAATTAGTTTTATTAACTCAGACTCATTTTAAAAATCCATAGCAATCCTATTGGGTCTGTAGCTTGAGGATTGATGACAGTGCTACCTAATGGTTGAGATTTTAAACAACATACTGTAGATGGTGAGTCATGATCATCGATGAAGAGCAATATCCTTCTACAAGCTGAAGTTTGAACCACCCTTAAAGATAAGAGACGGAACTAATTAGCAGTGATTTATTAAGAGTTGTTTGTTGTTTAAATGCATTTCATCCACTTCAGTGTTAATCCTCTCTGGGATACAAGTAACTACAGATTTTCAGTGTTTGGCCGTTAATTACACTGAAGAAATTCTTCATGTACATGTGAGTGTTTCACCCCATCACAGTTGACCTACTTCAGCGTAGTTTCTCCTTCATGTGTAATTGAGTTTCATTCGTTTTCATGCCATGGTTTTGATAGTGTATGGGCTCTGGTGGTCTCACAGGGCTAACATGAAAGGAAGAAAAACAATGGTAGGTGGAGGAAATCATGTAAACTCTTAAATCTTAATTACTTGCAAAGTAATGGATCAATTTGTTACACGTACAGTGAGAAAGTACAATGAAGCTACGTCTATAAAACAGTGGAAGTACGACAATGAAAAATGACAAGTTTTGGTTTTCTTAGATGGTGTTTGATGTCCTTTTTTTCCCATTCTGTCTGTGTCCCTGCCTGTGTGTGTAAATGTATATGTTGAGTGAGTGTGGATTAGAGGGAGAGATGTTGTTTACCTTTTTTCTTCCTGGACGAAAGACTTTAAAAATCCCTGTTTTAATGCTAACAATTACATGGATAAAAGGATGTCTCTCATTATTTCTCTGGTGAGCAGTTAGTGGATATTCCTTCAAATGACCGTAACAGTTGACTGAGCTGTGCCTTTTCAGTTGGACTTTTTAGGTCATGCTGAAGGGAGTGTTAGTGTCTGTCTGCCAGTGTGTCCTGCAGTCTCACATGTTTGTGTTAGTGTGAGCTGAAGCGTCCCCAGCTGTGTCTATGTGAACTTATATGTCTCTGTGTATACTTTTTCACTTCTGTACATCAAACTCTTTCCTTTGTCCCTTGGCTAATGATGACTTTTCCATAAACAGCCACCCTTCTAACACAAACACACACACACACACAGATGTGCTGCCTTTGTTTGCTAAAAACAAAGATTTAATTGCTCAAGATAATCTCACCTTTAAAAGATATTCTATTCCTTTCATTGTTTATTGATCCGTGGTTCCTTTCCACTCTCACCACCTCTGGCGTCTAAGTCTGTCCTTCTCATATTCTTCTACTCCCTGCTTTTCTTGCCATTAGCAGGCACAGACATTTACTGGGAGCTTGTTATCTGTCCTTTTGTCTGCATTCAAAAAACTCAGTCTCCATCATTATTAGTCTTCCTGCACACATTACTGTCCGGTGCTGTTGCCACCCCTGCATACAAGCTCATTATCATAGCAGATAACAATTTGCCTTTTATAGATTAATTTCGAATCCTTGTCTGTTTTGGTTGTTGGCAAAAAGCTTTTGCCTTAATAATAGTGAGTTTGTCATTGAATTGGCTTATTTTCACTTTCAGCGAAATGGGAAAGAAAATTTTCTAATAAACATCTTTTGACTAAAATGTTTTAATTGATAATTTTCTTATTTTGATTTTCTGTTTGTGTCTTGTCAAAGCTGCTCTAACGTTCCTACATATTAATTGTTTGCTGTTTATTAAAACTTTTTGGAAAGTGAACA